TATTACATATACATTACGATATATGTAGTTCATACAGATTAGTTAATTTTTTTATAATACTTATAACTGGGCTAGCATTTTGCTTTATATTGCTAATCAATTTACAACATTTTTTTTATAGACGGGCACGGTGCTAGCTATGTGATACAGCCGCTTATATATAATCTCACTGCTAGAAGGCTCGCAATTGCGTGGTCATAATCTTTTTTCTCAAATACTATATATGTAGATAAAACATTCAGCCGTAGCAGGCTAATCTGAAAGAGTAAATGTTTCGAAATAATTAATCGGAAATATACCACATCTACCGTTCATACATTGCAACCCTTTACAACGATGCCTTACCGGTCATTGACTGCAAAACGGCCGGAAGTGGAGGAAACTTCACAAAGCTCGATCATAAACAAAAAACGAAAAGAAATCGCTAATTCCCCCGTGCGGTGTAATCCCTTTGATCGTGGTTTGTCTTTGCAGAATTAAAAGTTGCTGGCATTGTTTAGAATTACATGACTAAAGAGTTCTTGCATGTGAAGTATAAAGTTTAATTAATTTTTACGTGAGTTATACTGGGGTTAATTTCAAAAACTTGATATACGTATATTGTATAGTAAAAATGTATTTCGTCTTGCCGTATATGTCTCAAAGCTTTATTGTATATCATTAATAATTGATATTAAAAGAAAGTAAAAGATTAAAGACCGGACGGTATGAGTTTGATTCCATGGAAGAATCGCTGGTATGAGATGCATCCCATCCCATGCATCCTGTTCAGACACGCTGGCCCCTTCCCATCTACATGGAACCAACAACAGAGCTGGTGCGGCTGAAAAAGCTATAGCATGCAAATACAGGGGTCTAGGCTCCGAATATGATTTTGTCCTATTCGGTGTCGAGACCCTTGGTCCGTGGGGTCCTAGCGCTATAAGGCGTTTTTAAAGAAATAGCAAAAAGGTTAGTCGACATCACAGGAGACCGAAGAGCTGACAGCTACCTCGGACAAAGATTGGTCTAGCTATTCAAAGGGGGAACGCTGCCAGTATCTTCGGAACCTTGCCTATAGGGACTCCTTTTAATAATATATTTTAGTTATTATATTTTAAGGTTAGTTATTGTTATACTAAAATATGGGCTTCCAAGTCGCATAAGAAATAAAATTTACAAGACATTTTTATGTAATAAAAAACCTCGTTTAGCAACAAAATTATTGTAGCAAAACGCAAATCTCATAGAAATTTAATAAAAACAACCAACAATTATTTAATAGACAACAAGTTTTACATGTCGATTTCTAGTAAACGGTTGTATTTGTAAATAAAGAAAAATACCCACCATTATTATTTACGAGTCGTACTGTTGCTCACTCCATTGAACAAGGCCTGCGATTTTCTTTTACATACAGGATGCATAGATTTTGTTTTGTGAATCCTTTATCCCCACGCTCTTTGAGTTAACATGATATTTGTGAAAATAATGTTTACATATGTTTGCAATGTTATGGCCACAGGATGTTGGAATGTTTTATTAATATGCACATTAATTAGACGTCCCCTCAAATCCTTATTAACCAATGTTTTACCAAAATCTGTCATAAGTCTTAATCAAAAACTGAAACTTATGTATTTTTCGTCAAATTAAAAAAAAATTGATTCCTTCAAACATAAGTTTTTATGGAAATATTATATTAGTATAGTACACAGTGTTTGTAGTGTATTTTAGCAAAAAGTTGATGTAGCACCCTGTACAAAAGACAAATTGAAAGCAATGAAGTCGAAAGCGTAAGTTCTCAATCATTCAACTTAACGACAATTGAGGAGAGGGGCTATATACATGGATTAATAAAATCTGTGCGTATTGGATATTCATTTAAATCTGCAATTTAAAAAAAAAATGACCTCTATTCTATATTTGTTTTATTTATAATTCATCTTAATATTATTAGGCTTTAACATATTCCTCACTAGAATTATCTTTACTTATAAGCAAGTATTTATCACAGAACTAGTAATATCCATAAACCAGAGTTTGAACGCCTGATCCCAGAATTGAAAGACGCGTCTAGCCACTAACACTAGCCATACTGCTAATATGTTGATCAGAATACTGTAATTATAGTATATATCGACTCACTGACCAGTGGAGTAACTATACCATCTGGGGCCCGTGGCAAATTCTATTGATGGGGCCCTATCAGTAAAAATCGTCACATTGTACTCAGTTTAATTTTATTAAACTTCGAGGTTTTCCGCGTACTCAATTACACGTTGTATATGTCCTACTAATGGCCATAGGCCTCCTCTCTTAGGTGAGAGGGAATGGTCTGTAGTCCCCACGCTAGCCCAATGCATATTGGAGACTTCACATTCATCCATAGAACATAATATCTCTTGGGCAGGGGCCCTCTTGGGTCGCGGGCCCGTGGCATTTTGCCAGCCCTGCCACCCTATTGTTACACCCTACTGTAGCATACATAGTTCAATTATAGCAGTATTTTATGTTATTATAACAGTTAAATGTACCGATTTCCATATAATTATTTGTTATATAAAAATTAAAAGTTCTGGTATCTTTTGGTAGAATGGTTGGTGTTAATCCTCATGTATAATAAAGTCAATGGTAAGAACACTGGATTACATATTACTATTAATTATTTAGACGCATATGTGTTTTGTTTGTCATTTATTGTGGAAAAGATATAGTAAACCTGTATTTTGTATAACTAGCTGTAGGAATACTAAAAATCAAATAAATAAATATAAATCTTGGTTCGTCACATCCAACACCCACGTTTTATACTTCTCAGCCCTGCGTATTTTACGTAGCAATAACAGCTTAATAGTGTAAAAGCGAGCAAATTGTCGACTGAGCCGACTAATGGCGAGTCTTAAACAATTTACCTCGTTTATGTCAACGTTACTTCCCTGATTATCTTCTTATATACAATACAAAGAAAGTAACACACTATTTTTATTCAACGTAAATTTATAGACTTATATATAGGTTTATATTGTAACTAGGTTTATTTTTATTTTTTTATTTTTTTAACCTAGAATAAATTTGAAGTTGGTGAGTGCTAAATAGGATTTTCAAATGAAGAAACATAAGGAACTTAAATTGTTGTATACACTTACGTTTTTAGTATATTCTTTTTCTCTTGGTGCCATACCATTACTGGAGGTTGGCGGTGGTTTTCATGAAACGTTTTTTATCCATTCCCTAACGTTACGAAGCCACTTTGTAATAAAACGCCGTTTACCCCGGATTTTACCTATTATAATTAATTATTTATTTCGGCTATGTGTTTGTTTTTTAATTATTTCTGATATGTGTTTGCGTGTTGTTCCCACGAGAATGTAAGTGCGTGCTCCTATTTCACCATGCCTCCTGCTGATAGAGGACAACTCTTTGTTTTTAATTTATGTTATTATTATTAATTACTTAAGATATCATGTGGAACATGGTTTAATGGTTGCAGCTCCTTACAAACGTTGTGTAAAAAAAAAACATGGCGATTAAAAAGAGTGGCGGAGAGTTTATTGCCAGTTCTTCTCTTCCGTTCTACGCCCTTGATTTGAGAACTGGCACTAAATGTAAAATTAGAAGCATTGATATGTATTTCTTTACTGACAGTCATAAGTGTACAATGTGTTACCTATATGATTAAATGATTTTTGAATTTGAATTTTTAATCATAATATATTAATGTAATATTAAATTACAATTATATTAATGTTAATACTCGTTTCTATGTAGCTTTTTCTCTTCAGACAAATTTTAAAGGCAAGGTGCAATTAGGTTTACGCAACCCCTGCCAAAGAACACAAAAGTATGTGGACTCCAGGTTCTATGCAGTTTAGGCAGATTCGCTATACGCACTAAAATAACCTAGTATATTTCTAATACGATCTCATCAAAGGAACCCTAAAGTTTACTTTTAAATTCTACAAGGCATTGGGCCCGGGCCAGTATACTTTTAAAACGAAATACTATTATACTGATGACAAAAAACACTTAACATCAGATGAGCCTGCCCGTTTGCCCCTGTTCAAAAAAAACAAAATATCTCCTATTATTAGAAGAATGGATTTTTGTTCATTTTACTATATTCAGATTTAAGCTCCAATGTCTTACATCATTTCATAAAAGCTACTAAAATTTAAACATAAATAAAAATAAACGTTCAATAGCCTTCACAAATTTATATCTGAAAGTATTTTATATCTGTTTGTATACAAACCTTTGGTATTGTGTAAATTCTGAAAGGTCTTTGTGATTGTTCGGTTAGTTCATGTCAGCTCAATATGAATTTGTAAAGGTGGTGTGCTCTCATTAAGTACACTGTATTTAATGCTTTTATGATTATTATATTTAGCTTAATATTATTCTAATAAAACATAATTTCGATAACGTTAAAACTGTACTTATTATATAAGTTAATCCATATAAAGGAAAAGGGAATATTATGTGTTAATAATAATTCCGTTCAATATGTTCTTGTTCATAAAATTATATTAAAAATGGTTTCTCTATTTAGAAATAATCAAATACGTACACACAACGTTTATTACTAACAAAATACATACTCAAAACACACAAAATAACAATAATCAAAGAAAAAAATAATAATAATGAGAGATAACAATTTTTTTTTCATTTAAAGAATAAGGTACGTTTTAACTGTATAATGCGTGTGTGATGTGAGCAGACTGTTCTACAGCGCTGGTCATTCTGCCAGTGACCACAGCAGCTACTTTACGCCTCAGTCGCAAAAAAAGCTATAATAAAAATATTTTATGAAGAATCATTTATAAAAAGTCTATTCATAAATCAGATTGACATTATGAAATAACAAATACACCGTCGTTAATGAATTAGATAATGCAAGTTTCACCGAGCTGTATCGACAAACAATCCCAAAATCACTTTGACGTTCGTAAAGGCAGCATTTCCAATTAATTCTATAATTGTGTCAAACCACAAATTCATTGAATTTTCAAAGCAGAATGAAGTTTGAAACAACCTCATACAAAAACATGCTGAATTTGTTTCGACCACTTATTATTATTATGTTCATCTGTGGATACAATTTTAAAACATTTACTCCCAGTTTGTTAAGAAAAGTGATAGCGCAGCTTTACAGCCTCAGTTTAGTAATCATCGTCTCATATTGTACAATGAACTGTTGTAACGTCATCAACCCGTCCCAGTTCATGTCTCTCCTCGAATACGATTTCAGTGTCCTCGTTTCTATGATCTATAATAGCAAAATCCTCAAGTTTATCTCCGGCCTCAAGTGCTTAGATGGTTATCTCAGAATCAATAAGCGCCATTACACGATTATCAAATTCAGATTTTTCTTCATTGCAGTAACACTGTGGATTATTAGAATCATATACACGACTTTAAGTTGCACTTCGAGTAACTGTTTTTATTCTTTCTTTCCATTTACGTTGAATATTTTCTCGTCATTAGCTCTAGATTTGAATAGAGTTTGGAGATTCACAATTTTAAATACTATCCGGTTTAGGATTAAACTGTTACGGCGCAGATTGGAAGAGGATCCTGAGGAAAACTATTATTTATACGCAGTAAAAATGAAGACAGTAAAGGAGGACAAATTAAAGTTTTGTCTTTTTATCTACAGACAAATTGGGAATATGGTGGACCTTATCCAACCAGAGATGCATGCGCAGGTTAGTAAGATAGTGTAAAATTATTTGTAAATACTCTATTTTTGTGGGTTATGAATTAATATTATTTTTTTAGATGTTTGTAAGTATAATCTGTGGTATTCCAAAGCTTGTGGTCGATATCTATCATATTCTCTTAGTTATTGAAAATCACGTAAGTACTTTTTCATTATAGTCACAGAGCATATACTTAAGCAATATACAAAAGTCATAAAAAAGATTTTTAGGTACATTTTAGGAAAATAAGTTGAAACTCGTTTATTTATTTTTGAATACGTTATATTGATAAAAATGAGATTTTAAGTTGTATTTTCTGTTCCTAACAAAATTAATACTTTTAGGAGCCAATAACAGCTTTGGGGTTCACTGTAATGCATATAATTCATGTTTCGTTTTTGCTCATGTCTCCATCCGTCGTAATCGAATTGTTTCAAGTTGAGATTGAGAAAATTAGATTACATTTGATACACCAAATAATTGATAGTAGTGGTAAGTGGTAATTTTACTTTCTGTTTTATTGATAATAACTTTTTAGTGAGTACTGGTAGACGCACTGGCGCTATAATCTTTTATTTCGTGACCTTTTTATTATCATAGACAAGTAGTTGATCAGCCTTCTGTACCTGACACATGCCGTCGACTTTTTTGACACGACACCGTACGAGCAGATTTTAAATGCTCAGGTAGATAGACAGTCTATTAAGGTACAGCCGGGGATCAAACCTACGACCTCAGGGACGAGACTCGCACGCTGTAGCTACTAAGCCAACTCGCTTTTATCTATTTATTAAAAGCATTAAATCTTATAAATTAGAATGATTAAAGCCGCACTCTTTTAGCCAAATCGCAAAACTTAGTGAGCACTGGCTCTCGCCTACTTACCTACTTTTAATATGTACTAGAGTATTTTGTACTGAAACATCCCAGATAATTATATTTTTCTTAAACTTCAGATCCAAAGACGAAAGAAGATGCCCAAATTTTTCTCCAATACTCCGAAATAAGATCAATAAAGAGCAAACTATGGAGATGTATTCCTATAAATATAGCATTGCCGTTGGACATTTTAAATATTTGTTACTCTGCAATAATTGTCATTATTAATTTTACAGATTTATATTAAATTATATGCATTTCAAATTAGTTCTTTTGTTTTCTGAACTCTACAATAAACTACACTATAGACTTGCTACTCGTACAAGTGTTAGCGTACTGGTAAAGCATGCCATTGGCCATTCTTTGGGCATATATATAATGCATTTGAGGCTTTGCTATGCGCCAATTGATTGTTATATTAATGTGCCTATTAAAAACTTAGCAACAGGCTAAAGTATTGTTTTCATTGCGTATACTATATTATGATAGTAAAGTATAGTATAAATAAACAGCGAACTGAAGCTCAACTTTTGAAAATAAATGCATAATTCTGCATGGAAAAGTTCTGTAAAATAAAGATGAGTAAGTACTATCAATATTGCATTTACGATAAAATCTTGGCAAGTTGAGGGCATTCAAATCGCAGATAAGGCGAAGTTTCGATTGAATGGAGCGGAATAATGACAGGAACTGGTAAACAACTCGTAACTCTGCCATCACTTAACACTTTACGATCATACTTACACGCTTTTGTCATTTATCCGAGTATCTTATTTCAGCGTTACTTCCTGGATATTCATAGTTTTATTATATGTACTTAAAATAGCCGTGCATATTATACGCTATTGGTTTCCTGTGCTCTAGAATTCGCTAGAATATCAAAAAACTTTGCGTTAATGCATATTGTCTTCCTACGAAATAAATATAAAATAAATGGTAAATTTGAAATCCTTTTGTTTTTACGCGGATAAGAACAATAAATAAAAGAGGGTTGCAACCTCAAGATTGTTAAACCGATGTTCATCAAATCTGTCAAATATGTCAATTATTGTGTGCATTTCGTTTAAAGAAAATAAAGTCAATTTACTAGATTACAACGCATTTACTCAACCCAATATACAATTACTTCTTTTAAAACTCGTTAACTAGGTATACAGTGATATATCTACGAACCACGACCATCATCAATAAAAACATAACTTACAACAAATGCAAAAATCTGAGGTGACGCTTGCATTACGAATAGATTCGTAACATAGGTGACATTGTACGTTAAAAATAATACTCATTCATTTAAATCTTCTCAGACGAAAGTATTGACTACAAATAATTAATCAAACTTCAACTTCGAATAATACTGGAACTGTGATATTCACAAATGGAACTAATCACTTAATGCAGGTAGAAGTTTACGTCTCTGAAATATTGTGAAGTTTGAAAGATGCATATTGAAATTTGTGGAAGTACTATGGAAACTCGATTTGTTTTTACTTTTATGGATGTAAACAAATAAACTTCTAATAAATAGTTCAATAATAAAGAATTTTTCTTCTTCTTCTTATAGTGCCATTTCCTTTCGAAGGTTGGCCGATCATCATGGATAGTTTAATTTTGGATGCCGCGCTTCTAAACATTGACTTGGTGCATTGAACAAACCATTGTCTAAGGTTTTTCAACCAAGACGTCTTTTTAACTGCCACTTTAACTTGTATGATTAGTTGATGGAGCTCATTCGCTGGTTAGTAATAAATAGTTGTGCTTTAAACCGAGCATTATATATTATATTTATTAGTATAGATTTCTAAATAGCTGCAAAAATAACAGAAAATGATAAACCTTAATAAGTTAATGTTCTGCAAAGTGATACTGATGAGGAGGAATTATTTTATTTTTAGAATATTTTTTTTTATAATAAGAAGAAGGAAAGGATGTTAGAAGAAAGTAATTAGTTCTGGTTATTGTTTAATGAATACTCACAAAAAATGTAATATGCATAATATTGTAAATGATATTTGTTGTTTTGCTACGTACAGATGCAACAACAGATTGAACTTAACTATTAAGTACGAGCAAGTATTAGTAAAGATAGGAAGAAATTTCCATTGACGTACATCCGGGTTTGGTAAGGATATATAATTTACCGGCAAACGTCGTTTTGCCAGTACTCGCATATTTTTTTTAAAAAAGGGGTGGGGGGCAAAAAACTTGTTGTTTTTTTTTTTTTTTTTTTTCTCCCAAAGTTTAATGTAATATAATCTAGAATATAAAAATTCTCATGTTTTTTATGCATATTCAGTAAGTCTGAAAATCGGCTACTTTCAAATGTAAAGGGTAGACCACCCTTAACATTTGAAAGGTAATTTTTTATTATAGTAGATAATGTTTTTTATGGAACTTAAAAATGTTTCCTAGAAAGAATGGCAAAACGACGTTCGCCGGGCCAGCTAGTAATAATATAATATAATAGCAAGTTAAACTAACTTAAAAAAAAATTGTTCTCTCGAAAACAAATCTTAAGGGTTTCCAATATAAAATTGGTTCTATAAAATCTCTATGGCTCACCTAGCTTGTTTGATTTTACTCTCAAGAACAAAGCAATATATTTGAAAGCATACTAGAGATTGTAACAGGGTATCTACTTAAGAAACAATATTCTCGATTCGCCATACTACAGTTTATTGACGTTTGAAATATTTATTTTTTATTAGTTGATCGAATATTCAATACACTTACGAATACATAATATAGTATATAACTCGTAACTTATAAATGGCACCTTAGTACATTATCTTTATAGAGCCCCCCCCCCCCCCCCCCCCCCCCCCCCCCCCCCCCCCCCCCCCCCCCCCCCCCCCCCCCCCCCCCCCCCCCCCCCCCCCCCCCCCCCCCCCCCCCCCCGCCCCGGGCCGGGGGCGGGGGCCGGGGCCGTTTTTTCCCCCCCCGCCCCCCCGGCCCCCCGCCCCCCCCCCCCCCCCCGGCCGCTGGCCCCCCCCCCCCCCCCCCCCCCCCCCCCCCCCCCCCGCGCGGGCCCGGGCCCCCCCCCCCCGCCCCCCCCCCCCGGGGCGGGGGGGCGGGCGCGGCGGGCCCGGCCCCGGCCCGTTCCCGGGCGGGGGGGGGGGGGGGGGGCCCCCCGCCCCCCCCCCCCCCCCCCCCCCCCCCCCCCCCCCCCCCCCCCCCCCACCCCCCAAAAAAAAAAAAAAAAAAAAAAAAATCCCCATATAATATATAACAACCCCCCCCCCAGAAAAAAAAAAAAAAAAAAAAAAAAATAAAAAAAAAAAAAAAAAAAAAAAAAAAAAAAAAAAAAAAAAAAAAAAAAAAAAAACCTCTTCATAACAACATATACGGTAGGTAAACGGTCATTTAGTGGAAATGGTAGTTCAGCTGATTTTTTTTTTATTAAGAACGGGGTTTGCAAAGGCTGGTGATTCAAAGGAGAGGCTCACCCGTGATGTTAATGTGATACCGCCGCCCATGGACATCTCATTAAAATGCCAGTAGGGCTCGCTTTTTTTTTTATATTTAATATTTTAAAAAACTACCTAGTTTGAGTAGCGTTGTATACCGGCCTTTTAAGTAAATTTAGTACGCATGCTATGAGAATATTTCTTGAAGGTTTATTAATATATATACGGGAGGAAACATAAATATTATATTAAAATAACTACTTGTTGGTCTACTACCGTAGTTTCACATCGCATATGATTGTTTATATTTATGAAAAAAGTCAGTATTAGAGTAACGAAGTTCAAGGAATTCCAATATCCACTCAGCATCATTAAAGTGAGTTGTAAATTCGCATCCGTATAGCCATAACGGCTGCTGAAGCCATTCCCAATTAAGCAGATTGAACGTAGCCTGAAGCGCGATCATTAAACCTTAGTTAAAGCACGGTTACCGTTAAACCACGGTTAAATAGTGAATCGGACAGTTTATTGCTTTGCCTTCGAGATGCTTTACTGTCACACGTTTATTGCCCAACATAAACGATAGTTCTGCCGACAATACAGCTATGCAGATAAAGATGTTTATTGTGTTGATTTCGTTTGCTGAACATACCCTTCAATCTCTATATAGGACGCAATTTTTGAAGTTAAACTTCTTCAGGCGCGTTATGAAAAATTGATGAGAGTGAAATTTTAAGATGCGCGCGCACCTTGACACAAAATTAACAGAATGAAGTTGCCCACGGAAGATGCTACGGCATTGGACATAATTTAAAAACAACATTCGAATAATAATATAATTTATGTTACACTTAATGTGAGAGAATAATAATAAATATTTATTTATTTAATTTTTCAAATGTAAACTGAACTTTATTGACTATAAAGACTCCTTTTCCAGTCTTTGATTATTTCATTGTAATTAATTATCTGCATGCAATCAAAAACTATTTTTAATAATGCCAAAGAAGTATATATAACTTCTTACGCGCGTACATAAGTACACGCACCATTTTTTTAACACCTTTAGTATTGAAAGACTTTACTGAATATAAGATAATATGAATAAATTTTGCTCAAATAGAACCTAAGTTTGCACCCTGAACTTGTCTCGACCTTTTTTCTCTGAGCTATTTCTCGATAATCTGAAATCTTTCTAAAAAACTCGGTTGAAAAACTCTAAATATGAAATGTGATTTAGGTTTTCTAAAAATTATAGAATGTAACTACTGCGTGTCTTACTTTCACAGTTGATTAAATAACGTATAAAATTGCTATTTCCTTACTTGAATTATTTGAAGCTATTAAAAATTATGTAGAAAGTTATTATTAGTGATAATTAAAAAATAGGTACACCGTTTAAAAGGTAACATGTTATCAATATTTCCAATGGCCATCCCAATATTTACTGATAGCTATTAGTCGGCAACGAATCACAATAAAAAAGCACTTGGCGTGTGTAGCAGTCATGTTAGGGATTCTTTTATTCGTGCGGTGTACAATTTACTGCCCCCGCTTTACGCTTTGATACGCACGTCTTATATGCCAGCCTTTTGTCGTGTACAGATAAGAATAAGTTATCTCAGTCACATATATAATATTAATTTCACTGCAGATGAATTGTAGATGCATACATGGTTTTAAATATGAACTGTTTCGTTCATAGCAAATTTCCTGGGATATTTTTACGATGCAGTTTATCGCGACAATTGCTCTTCGTGGATCTTTATACATACCTCTCATACCGCCAGTCTGTCTATAATTACAACTTAAACACTTTATGTAATTTATTATCAATTAA